GACGTCCACTAGAGGTACTTCCTGGGGCAGTGCTGCACAGTGTGCATCACTGACATTCAGCGTCTCCACGCTCTGCATTGAACTTTCCCCATAAAGATACATTGATTCAGTTGAATGAGAAGATGCTGATTGGGCAGGGCAGCATTTGGCTCCATCCCCGGGCCATCTCTTTGGCTGAGATAATCAGAATTGTATCAAGTCTGATGATGTTAGCCAAGGAAGCGGATCAGGGGGGGGGCGGGTGAGTTTTCACACTATTTAAGGTGGGTAAAGGTTGACCAGGGGAAATAAATAGTAAGTTTAACACTATAGGGTCAGGAATATATGTTTTTGTTCCTGGCCCAACAGTGTTCCTTTAAACTATAGTATATGTGTTCTAAATTAAATTATACTTGCATGAACGGCTATTACTAAGTCACCTACAATTTCTTATAACAGTCCACCCATGCCCCCTCCACCCCTTACACTGCTAAAATTTGTTGATTTAAAATGTTGAAAGGTATGTACTTTCCTTATAACATAGCAGACCGATGCTCCAATTGCATCCCAAATACACCTCTTACATCTCAACACAGGGCCAAGTACCCCACTCTATACACACAACATAAAAATAAATCCTGTAACAATAACCCATACATTTTCTTTTTTTCCATCTCGCCTATTCAAGTCATTTCCTTGCACATAACCTAAAGAAAAGTGACATTTTTGCAACCCTTTCCACAGCCACAGAGACAACGCTTGATATTTAATCCATTACTATTCTGTTGCACTCAATTGTTGGAAGTATGAAAATTACATTTGCAGTGCTGGGTTTTGCCTAGAAGAGTGGCACACACACACAGATCCTGGCACCCTACAGCTAACAAAACCTTCTCAAAATTTTCTTCTTGGCAGCAGCCCACTTTAGCGTGTATTTTTACTAGGCTTTTATGCATTATAATGTGTCAGCTGCTTTTCATTGACTTTAAAACAGTCTGGGAACATTTTACAAAATGTTGTATTTCTTTATATGGAAAATAATCCCTTGCAAAATGGCATTGCATGTTAATTTCTGGATAAAGATTGTAATTAGAGGCTCACCCACTCTATACGAAACGACACAATGGCTAAACGTAAGCTGTAAAAATATATACAGACTTATGCATGCATACATACATATGGTGACACGGATTCATCCCTCCACCCAGTTGTCCTATAAGAAGGCATTAAAATCAGTGCCGATACCATTGTTTTCCGATCACATAGTATTACAAACTGTGATTAATAGTGATTTTCAGAAACCGTGGTGACACTGGAAAAAAATTATTTATAAACGATATATATTTTTAAAAGGTTTATTTCAGCTATATTACTTCTCAGAAAAGGGTGAGTGGAATCAACGATGGCAGTAGAGGGGCAATACTTTTTTTTTTTTTTACATCTTCAACCTATTTCATCTGCCTTGATAATGATTGTTTTCCCATTGCTATCCCATGAATAGTTTCAAACGACAGAGAAGGATTTTTTTGAAGTTAAAGAGCTGTATTTCTATAAGCTGGTAAGAAAAGAAAAAAATGCAATGTAGCATAAAGGTTTAAATTAGATTACAACCAAAAGATCTCTGGAGAACAATATGAGCCAGAGCTTTGAAATTAGCCCTGAACAATATAATCTTGTTGCTTAATTTCATGGAGTTTAGCGGCCTCATCTTCTATCCACAAGGCTGAATGTTAATCTATGCTGTAACCTGATTTAATTTTCCAGTTCACAGGATGGGAATATGCTTCAAATGGCGTGTCTACAAAGCTATGCTGCTCTCTTCGACACAGTCCCTTCTTCCCATATCAACACAGTATTAAAGAAGTGGAACTTTGTAAACCACTGAATATATAAAACATACATATACATACCCTCATTCACACAAGTGAAAATTTACATGATGAGGATATATGCATATATATATATATATATCTCATCACCATATAAACGGTCAGTTTTGTTAACTTCCTATGAGTGCACCGACTCTTGTATAAGTGTGTGTTTATATAAAAAAAAATATACATATTATATTACAAATCATACAAATCAACATGTAAATAATTGTACTACTGTGACTAGAATTAACCTCAAAATTTTTCAAAGTTTGGTACGTTTTCCCTACTATCTATTAAAGCGGCTCTATCACAGAAACTTTTTTTTTTTTTATCCTCCCTTACTTTTCAACCACAAGCTTTCCCCTTTCCATATTTCTTTGCTCGAAAATCACCCCACTTTACCCATCGCACATAGAATGCTTAACAATAAACTGACATCTTTGAGTTTGGATTCCAATATTATTTGAAGGGATTATGCAGTGGCTGAATGACAGGCAACAGAGGGTTGGAGTCAATGGAGTATATTCGAAGCAAGATCTTGATCTTCCTTGGACCCATGCTCTTCAATATTTTTATTACTGATATTGCAGAAGGTTTTGAAGGTAAGGTATGTCTTTTTTGTTAAGGATACTAAAATTTGCAAAAAGTTACAAATGAAAATATATGCAGCTACACATGAAGTGGCTTTGGATCCACTACCTGGAAATAAATATAGTAGTAAATTGTAGGTATTATAGGGAAAAGCTTGAACCAAAGTAAGGGTAGGTATCTAGAGATTAGGAAGCTATGGAGTACACCCAGTCAGTGCAATCACAACCTTATAAGGTTAACTCTTATGTCTAGAAAAAAACACTCTGTCTCAATCTCCTTCCTGGTTAAAAATGATTTAAAAAGAGCTTTATTAAAATGGCTCTGGTAGAGTATAAGAACCAGGAATGGTATGAGTGTTATCTGAATACAGATGGTTAGGTAGACATTAGACGCAACTATTGTACATCTGCCAATAAACTAAAGAGACCGGATATATATCCTCATATAATGGAGAAATAGTTCTCTTAAGTGCAATGACTTCTACTTGTTATGCTGCAGTAAGTCAGCGTGTTTAGAGTAGAGCAGGGCTGTCCCACCTGTGGCCCCCCCCAGATGTTGCTGAACTACAACTGCCATGATTCACTGGCTGTTTCATTGAAAGAATCATGGGAGTTGTAGTTCAGCAACATCTGGGGGGCTGCAGGTTGGACAGCCCTGAAGTAGAGTGTTCAGTCACACCTATATGGGTTTATATACAAAAGGTCCAGTGCACCTAGGCTGTATATCAAATAATTATTCAGATAGCCACAAATAGTTAGTAATAAGAGAAAAGAAAGAGCAAATAGGTTCTAGTGTCGGTAAAACACTGGCATAAAGTTAAACTGTTACAAAGCCACTCTCCCTGTTAATCTTACTAAATAGACATAGGAGTTAAAATAGAGGGGAAATAAATAATTAAAGCAACATGCTAAATCAAACGTGGATCAAAATCAAAGTGCCCAGTGAAAAAGTGAACTACGTGCACTGGACCTTTTGTATATAAACCCATATAGGTGTGACTGAACACTCTACGCTAAACACGCTGACATACTGCAGCGTAACCAATAGAAGTCATTGCATTTAAGAGAACTATTTCTCCATTATATGAGGAAATCTATCAGGTCTCTTTAGTACACTGGCAGATGTACAATAGAGGTGTCTAATGTCTACCTAACCATCTGTATTCAGATAACCAGGAATGGTATGGGTGTTATTATACTCCACTAGAGTCATTTTAATAAAGCTCTTCTTAAATAATTTTTAACCAGGAAGGAGATTGAGACTATGATCAGAGTGTTTTTTCTAGACATATGAGTTAACCTTATAAGGTTGTGATTGCACTGACTGGGTGTACTCCATAGCTTCCTAATCTCTAGATACCTACCCTTACTTTGGTTCAACTTTTCCCTATAATACCTACAACTTACTACTATATTTATTTCCAGGTAGGGGATCCAGGGCCACTTCATGTGTGGCTGCATATCTTCTTTTCATTTGTAACTTTTTGCAACATCAAGAGTTAAACCCAGAGAGATATCCCTGGAATCTCTCATTGACGTTTTGATAATCTGGACCACTGAGATGCAAACTGTTTGTGTTGGGTCACAGTAGGTTCATATTGATTATCTTCTCTGCATATACTAAAATTTGCAACATAAGTCAAATGGCAAATGATTTAGGTAAACTAGAAAAATTGTCAGACCCGTGACAACTGACATTTAATGTGGATAAGTGCAAGATAATGCATCTTGGATGTAAAAACCCAAGGGCAGTGTATTGAATATTTGATACGGTACTAGCCTCAACATCTGAGGAAAGGGATTTAGGGGTAATTATTTCAGATGACTTAAAGGTAGGCGGAGAATGTAATAGAGCAGCAGGAAATGCTAGCAGAATAATTGGTTTTATAGGGAGAGGTATTAGCAGTAGAAAGAGAGAAGTGCTCATGCCATTGTACAGAACACTGGTGAAATCTCACTTGGAGTATTGTATGCAGTACTGGAGACCTTATCTCCAGAAGGAAATTGATACTTTGGAGAGAGTTCAGAGAAGGGCTACTAAACTGGTTTATTGATTGCAGGATAAAACTTACCAGGAAAGGTTAAATTATCTTAACATATATAGTTTGGAGAAAAAACGAGACAGGGGGATATGATAGAAATATTTTAATATATATATTTAAAAGAAAAATAACTTCCACAACAAGGACATAGTCTTGAATTAGAGGGGCAAAGGCTTAAAAATAATATCAAGAAGTATTACTTTATTTAGAGGGTAGTGGATGCATGGAAAAACCTCCCAGCTAAAGTGGTAAAGGTTAACACAGTACGGGTGTTTGACCGTGCATGGGATAGGCATAAGGCTATCCTATATACAAGATAGGGCTGGGACTAATGACAGCATTTATAAAATTGTGCAGACCAGATGGACGGAATGGTTCTTATCTGCTGTCCCATTCCATGTTGCTATAATTTTGCTAATCTTCACGGTGCCGGATCCTTATTCACAGCACCACCATCTTCTAAGTACTGCCAGTGATGTATTATTAATTATTATTATGATATTTATAGAGCGCTGTCAAATTCCGCAGCGCTTTACAATGGGTGGACGAACAGACATGTAGTTGTAACCAGACAAGTTGGACACACAGGAACAGAGGGGTTGAGGGCCCTGCTCAATGAGCTTACATGCTAGAGGGAGTGGGGTAAAATGACACAAAAAGGTAAGGATAGTATTAGACTAGTGACAGTTGCAGAAGAGTAATCAGTCAGGAGCTATTAACAGTTTAATTGATACGCTTTTATGAAGAAGTGGGTTTTTAACGATTTTTTGAAGGAGTGGAGACTGGGTGAGCATCTAACAGAGGAGGGAAGCGAGTTCCACAGGAACTGTGCAGCCCTCGAGAAATATTGAAGGCGAGCATCAGAGGTGGGAGTACGGACAGAAGATAGACGTAAGTCTTCAGCAGATCGTAAGGGCCTAGACAGGGAGCAGCATTATGTAGAGATTTGAAAGCAAGAACCAGAATTTTATTGAGCTCTATATTTTATAGGAAACCAATGTAGGGAGTGACAGAAGGGTGAGGCATGGGAGGTGCGGGCGGACAGGAAGATGAGCCTTGCCGTCGCATACATTATGGACTGTAACGGCGCTAGTTGGGCGCACGTAAGATCACTGAGAAGCGGATTACAGTAGTCAAGGCGAGAAAGGACAGTGGAATGGACCAACACCTTAGTCGCATCTGGCGTTAAGTAGGGGCGGATGCGCGCAATGTTTTTTAGTTGGAAATGACAGGATTTGGCGATAGATTGAACATGAGGCTTGAAGGAGAGGTCGGAGTCAAAGAGAACGCCTAGGCAGCGAGCCTGCGTGGTGTAGCTGATGGTAGCACCGTTGACTTGGAGGGAGACAGACACAGGAGTAACAACACTTGAGGGAGGAAAGACCAGAATTTCAGTTTTGTAATGTCACTGCCTTCTCCAGACTGAGTATGCAACGATTTCTTAGCCTTGGATGCCCCCAAAATGTTTATTTAAACAGAACCAAATTTTGTCCATTAGTGTTCGGATTGAATTTCATTCAGACAAAAAATTCCGATGTGGGACTCGGCTGTATCTTGCAGTCATCTAGTAGATAACTCCCTAAATCGGCTCCCTTGTGGGATTGCCATATTTAAGAGTACCAAATTAGGGAGCTGTTTAGTACATACATTTTTGGCATCTGTAACGGATCACCTGGCACCCCGACTGGGTACCTCCGTTGAAGGATGCTCCTACCGCTTCCTGAGGACTCCAAGCACTGCAGCAGACACCACAACCACCGAACCGGAGAAGCATACGAATGCTCTCAAGCATATGAATGATGTAAGCAGCTGAACAGGAAAAGCATACAATCAGCTTACACTCCTGGCAATCAGCATACAATCCAATTCCCCCAATAACGAGACGACACTTCGTTTTGAGGTCAAGCAGAACTGACTGTACTGGCACATACAGCCTCTTTTATTCCCAATCCACAAACGTAGTACTGGCCACAGGGTTTTGAAATACAACCAATCAATCCATACAATACACCCAGACACTCCAACACAAAATCCTCAACTCTGCCTGTGATATGATTACTGAACACAATGGTTAATCTAATTATCACAGGCAGAGAAATACAGTATCATAAAACACATCACAGGGACCCCAAAACATGCAATAACCACATAAAAAGTAAATCCTCGGAACCGGGGGATCTGGGTGAACCACATATACAAAATTCACCCAGATCCGTTCAGTAGTTTGGAAGATGCAGTTTAATGAAGATTCCGCAGAACATATACAGGCTATATGAAAAATAATTACTGTATAATGTGTCCCCTGTTGTACAGTTTAAAACTACTGAACAAAGTCTTCGTGCACCAAATACTGGCGAGATGGCACCGTGTAGAAAAGTCCAAACAGTGTCTGTGAGTTAAAATGGCCGCCATCCATTGTTCTCACCATGTGCTTCATCCATTGTTCTCACCATGTGTCTCTGATACATGAAATGTAACTCCACAGTATTTCCCCAGATGGTTCTTAAAGGGCCAGCAACAGCATAATAAAATACAATATGCCCAAATACTGTATTTAAAGGGCCAAATCTCCCAGGGGCCATAATCAGCAGGCAGGAGGCGGGCAAACAGGCTTCTCCAATACCCAGTGGCGAGGTTGGTTTCGCCACAGTATCCTTATGGCAATCCCACAAGAGTTAGAGAGCTATCTACTAGGAAGTATAAAAACCAAAATTCCTTCCTTTTCTTAGTTTCGATCTGTCAGACAGCTTTACTAATACTAAGTAAACATTAGTTAGAATTAATGAACAAAGGAGCAGGGAGGGGCATGTCTACTAAATAGCAAGCAGCCTGTGGCTGCTCGCTCTTATAAAAAAAGACAAGCAACTGATGCCTTCATTAATCAGCCTCCAAAAGGGCAAAATAAAAATTCATAATGTAGCATAGAACTGTTAAAATAAAAAAAGGACCCAGTAGTAAAAAAAAAAAAAAAATATCACACCGAGAAAAAAAAATCTCATCTTCATCCCGCGAGGGGTCCACACAGACTGTGTTGAAGCGAACCAATCAGTGTGCTCTGACAGGTAAATCTTTAGACTTTCAGGTGAGCCAATAGGTGGGGGCTGGGATATAAGGTCCACCTATTATTTAGGGCCCCCACCAGCCTCTAGTGGGTGGGTGCTGAGGGGAACAACAGGTCCGCAGATTCGCTGAGTTCCGTGATTACAGGCAGAAATAGAACAGATACCGGGATACCCTGGCCACCCCGACTGCAAAGAAAGGCAACAGGAACAAACTACACAATGGGACGCAAAAAAAACCCAAAAACCGAGGCCAGATCGACCTAGGTCACGCCCGATTTCAGCGATCTACTGCGATGGCTGCACTAAGACTAGAGGCCCAACATGGCGGCGGACCTCGACAATTTTTCAAAGGCCTCAGACGATCTAATCCTGCACAGCATGGTGGGCCTAGTATATCCGGATCCATTTAATCCTTCTCAACAACAGAAGTGACATCCCCACCACCATCACAACAGCAGTACACACCAGTCTCCTAGCAGACCTCAGACAGTCACTCTCGGCTGAAATATCCCAGGTGACAGAAGAGGTTTACTGCACGCATGGCTGCAGTGGAAGAAACCACAGAAGCACATACTTCCCAGATATCTGAGCTGCAGAAGCAGCTCCACGACCTTACCTCGGCCCAAGCGCATCTAACCTATCAACTGGAAAGCACAGGAGGATAGGAGAAGGTGGAAGCAACTTAAGATCAGGGGCATTTCTGAAAGTATTACCATGGCAGAAATGCCACACTTCCTGCGCAGATTGTTCCCAGCCCTGTTACCCCCTAAACAAGCAAAGGGCATATCGTTTGACTACATGTTTCACTTGTCTCAGCATCAGCCGAACACATCATCAGTCACCGGCAATCTCCTGGTAAAATTCCAAGATGGGCAGGATAGGGCAGCCTTCCTGAATGCAACTAGAGGCAAGACCCCGTACCGCTTTGAAGAAATGGATCTCAACTTCTTCTCTGACTTATCCCACAGAACTCTGCAGAGGAGAAAGTCTCTTCTACCTCTCACGGCATATCCTGACCACCAACAGCATCAAATATAGACGGGGATCTCCTTGCTCCCTTATCACAGAACACAGGGATAGCATAAAATCTCAGACGTCTCAGAAATGGATGCTAGGATGCTATTCTGACTAGGCCTTGGCCTGGTCTTCAAGTCCACCACTACTGTATAGGACCCAGCCAACATTGTCCCATTTGTTCCAGCGAACCGTTACCTCACTCTCTTTTATTGTGACGTTCTTTATTTTTCATCCTTTTTTTTTCCATATATTTTTTGATATCTCACTACCGCTTTTTGTGCCATGATTACTTGGGCCTGTGAGGACAAAAAACGGAAAGCCGGGCCATCCCCAGCCATGCTATCTCCCTAGATAACATCTCCCTTGCCCCAGCTCTGATTACTCGACTCACTACATTTATACAATCTGTGGAGCTGTTCTTCCTACCACGCTAAGAATTCTTTTGCAACATATTTTCTTTTGTTTTTATCCTACTTTAATAAATACTGTGTAATTCCAAATACTCTACTCTCATCTAGCATTATTTTAGATGTTAGCACACCGTTAATGTTCAACTTTACAAAACAAAAACAGAAACACACAAAAAAAAAAAACACACTCTGACCATTACTCTTTTATTGTACTGACATGATTGACGTGAATATCTTTGTCCGAATGTATAATAAATGAACATTAAAAAAAAAAAGAAAAAAAAAAAAAAAGAATGATAGGCTAAATGTTATATTTAGGGGAAGGCTAACCAAGTACCAAATGGCAAAAGGCTGCATACATAAACACAATTACTGAAAGACTTTCATTCATCATTATCGGAAAAAAAAAATTCAACGAGTAGAATACTCAAAACCACTCAGTCATGCGTACTATAAACTCTTGATCTGCAGGCTGTTATGTGGTGTGCACACCGGTCCAACTGAAATGGAAGGCCTTGGATTGGGTGAGAGAAATTAGCCCTTTCCTTGTAAACCCATGATATTACTGTGATACAGCAGACATTCACAGATGAGTGATTGTTACATTTTTTAAATTTACAATGTCATTCTTAAATGCATTAGCTCCACAGTGTCTTAATATGGGGAGCCCATTCCGCAGTGCTCGCTTAACAGATTGATACACTACCTAGAAAAGGGTTGATGAAAATAACTGGCTTGACCACATTTGCCATAATTCTCTGCCAGCTGTTGACTGGTTGAGAATTAAAGAAATTGTTGTTCAACAATAGTTGAAGGGCCAAGGTTGGACAATTCTCCTCTGTAACAAACTGTAATAGCACTATTGTTGCTATGGACTGGTAATATAATACAACTGGACTCCAAAATTCCAATAGCTGTAATATAATATATTAATTTATTGAAGAACATGTTCCTTTCATTTTGTTCCTCTTTCAAACACCAAACACATTCCTCCTGTGGTTGGTGTTAAAATACATCTCACTAATGAGATTTTTGGGTACAGCAAGCTAAACTTGCTCATTTACATTTTTGACTCCCTGAAAAGTTAACATTCAGTCATATGTATAGCTCTACACTATCCACAGTTCATTTGATGTACAAAAAATTAATTGGTTCTTTTTCTGCGTTGGTGAAATAGAAAAGCGGAACAAAGAACAGATAGAACCACTTCGCCTTCTTGTTGCATAATATCTCGTACATACAGACTTGCTCAGTTTTGGAATATTAAATATACAGCCCTAATGATCTGTGAAACACTTAAAAACGATTATTCAAATTTCTGGTGTGAAATCTCAAAACAAGCAAACAATTGTAATTGATACTATTAGATAATAATAGAACTCATAATACACATTCCACTGTTCAGACAGAAATCTGAATTTTACTAGTTTCTCAAAGACAGAGCTTTAGTTGCATCATTAAAACAAAGATTTCATGCTCTATAACCTGAAGTTGTTTAGAGTCATGTCTTTTAGTGACCGTAATCTAAAGGGCCATTTGAACAGTAAATTAAAGAGAATAAACAAATGTTTATCAAGGGATTCTCTAAATCTAGGCACCAGCGCCATTACAGGTTAATCCATTCCTCTTAAGTGTCCCTGTTTAGGAAGGACAGGTCTTATTTTGGCTCCAAACTTCACAGCAATAACGCACATTAATGTGTCTTTAAACTACAATACATTTGCTTGGAAATCAATATGTGTAAATAAGACACATTGTTCTTGTTCTTAATTATAATTTAGTTGCCTAAATTGTTATTAAAAAGTCTCCAAGAATTTCTCAGAGCAGCCCAACCCTGGACAAACCCCTATATTTCAAGTGTCCCTCTTTGTCCATTGTCCATTTGAAGTGTTAGGTGGTGTGCTTTGAAGAGTCACAGGTCCCCTGATCTCTGCAATGTAAAACATTGGAGTTTCAGAGAAACAGCAATGTTTTAGACAACCCCTAGTGGCAATACCCCACTGTGACTTTTGAAAAAGTGTAGCGTCTTAAAAATCCCCATAGAATGCAGTCAGCTAACACTATCAGCCAATCACAGCCAGCCACTGCTACTCTGGCTAATACTCATTCGGCCAAGCCGCAGAGAGCATATATTTCGCTGGGTGATTAAAAATGGAAGGATCGTTCCTGGGAGGTTTTCAGATACTATAATCCTTCAATGAAATTAAGCGGTTACAGTGACTACAGTCTCTCTTTACTACAATTTGCTGCAGTGTTTATTATGTGAGGAGTGCCATGGCCAGGTTCCACGGTGATGGGGCAAAACATTTAGCAACAGTTTGCCCCCTTACCTGGGTAAGCCACAGGGCTCTGAGACTCCCTGCTGGTTTGGTAATGCAGGCCCCACTTCTGCAGAGCCGCAGAAGCTGGAAGTGGATGCCGTCACCATTCATTAAATAAGAGCAGATGACCTGAATAACATTCTGTTCAATAAAATTTGCGCATAATTTACATTAGCCAGCCCAGCTGAATATACCCCAATGACACTGCTAGAGGTCGGAGTTAAACCTACAGCAACAGAGGAGCTATACTCATATTGTAACGCTGCACATACAGACTCCACGTACCATGACCATTTCAAATCAATGAAATGGTAATCCTTTAAACTAACATTGTTGTCATGCTTAGAGTGTTCCCTTAAGCAAGGTAAAGTTCAATTTAGCTGGGGCGGGTCATGACTGTGGAGCCGACAGGACCTGCTCCGAGAGAGCTCCTGAGTCCGATACGGATAATATTGGTCTAATCACGATCCACTCGAAAAATTTGGACTCAATCCAAACATATCCTGTTAAGCAGAAGTCGGTGCACTGGGGACTTACTCGTGCCGCGCATGCAGCTGATGATGGGGAATGGAGGAGAAGAGTCCCCAGTGCTGAGGGAGCCCGGAGCAGGAAAAAAGGTAAGGGATTAACCCCTTCCTCCCCCTAGAGCCCGGCGGGAGGGGGGCCCGGAGGGTGAGGGGGACCCTAGGACCCTAGAGAGCCAGAAAAACGAGTATGTTTTCCTGGCACTATAGTGGTCCTTTAAGTAAAGTCAAGTGGCAGAGGGGGAAATAATCTTTATGATACAAGGTGCATAAAGGAAAAAAAAAAAAAAAAACGCCAGTACAATTTTAAGACAATAGTAATGTGGATCATTTTCTTCTATTGGCCTTATAAATTTTAGTCTCTTATTGATTAAGTGAGTTCCATGCAAATCTAAAAACAACAATATACTCATGAAACCATGTAGGTGTGAAACACAAACCTAAGGGTTCAGATAATGTGCTGAGGGAGATTACATACATCTACCTATGAACAGCAAGAACACAAATAGCATTGGGAATCTGTTCGAGACTTAGGAGACAGGGATATGGCGTTGAGGAATATATCCACAGAAACATGTTTAAGCCAAAAGGCTAATAAAACTACAATTTGGGCACTGCCAGCATGCTTAACATCCTCTAATGACCAACTAGGTTAATTGGGTTTTCTACTTGAAAAGCACGTTTGGGCTGGCCACAGTCTACGGAAGGGGGAAAGTTCAATATCATTATAAAGTATGGCATACCACATATACAATATATATAAGAGGTTGAAAGGGGTGGAGCTGGCCGGGGAGCTGACAAGACGCATGGCGCCGGAGCTCCGACGAAAACACATTAATACAGCACTGCAAAGCAGATTATTGCCTCACCCATCGGTAACCTAAATCAGCTACGACATTTAGGACATCATGGGGAAGCACTCCAAAAAGGCTCGGGGGCAAAGCACAGGACTTACCCGCGATATTGGCCAACTACTTTCCCAGCCCTGCAGGCCCAAGATGGTGGACCTCTTACTTAATATGGCGCTGGACTCACTCTCAGCCTCAGAGGAAGAAGATTTCAGCTATGTGCCCATGCCGACACCACAATGAAGGAATCAAGCTTTACCACATAGGGAGACTGAGCCCCAACTGGCCACCAAGGTGGACCTCTCGGGCATGGTATCCGTTCTCAAAGCCTTCTTCACATCAGAGCTTGCGGTGCTGAAGGAAGAACTGGGCACACTGACAGGTCGGATAAGAGTCACGGAGGACGAAGTTCACAATCTGCGGGTCAAACAAGACTACACAACAAAACAAGTGCTGGAGATCTCCACCAAGTACGAACAACTGAACACACAAGTCGGACAACTAGAGGACTCAGCACACCAGAGTAATCTGAAGGTGAACTGCCGCAATTTATCCGAAGGCTGTTCTCTGCTTTATTACCGCCAAAACAGGCCAAGGGACTGTCACTTGATGGACTATTCCGCATACCAGCGCAACCCTGCAATAACCACACTAAAGCTAGAGAAGTCATCTTGTGCTTTTAATCTCACACCGACAAAGAGAGCGTCCCGCAGGCGACTAGAGGACAAAACCCATACACCTTCGAAACACACTCCCTGAGTTTCTTCCAAGATCTTAGCTGCCAGACACTGCAATGGCGCGCCTCCCTTAAAGAGGTGACCTTGCTTTTGAGAGCAGCTGATATCCCATATAAATGGGGCTACCCGAGAGGGCTAATGGCAGACAGAGATGGCCACCACCATCGGCTAACTTTGCTATCGGAGGCACCGAGGTTCCTGCAATCATTGGGCCTTACACCAGCCGCAAGTAACATCAACCAGGCCCAAGCATCAATGAAACGTTGCCAATATTGCTGCCTTCACTCCATCAGGAACCTCAGCCCCAGGATGAAAGCGCACCGTATTTGCAAGATCCCGAATGCAGACACGTAGTTTCCACATAGTGCAGAAGCTAATTATATAGTCTTTATTCTCTGTTGAACTTTATTATATCTTGTTTTAATTCACAGCGGTTTACGTAGTTTCCATTAGCCTGGCCACTTCACCCTTCACTGGTCTCCCAATCCTTGCGAGCCTGTAGCGCGATACACATTAACTACCCCTGCAACGGCTCATATTACTAATAGCAATGGTTTTACACATTATAAACTCCCCCATCCCCCCGAACCCCAAGGTTATGGAGTTATTACACCCTGTAGTCTCTCTCACAGATCTGGGACCTCGCTCATGCATGAAAGGGATTCAGTGGGAAATCCACTCATTACAACCTACCTGTCACATCCTTCTCTGTTCTGTGGAGATGTCTGGCCTTGGCTTCTGGTATCCAGTACTCTTTTTACAATTCCTGTTTAGTTTTTCTTGGTTTTTCTGGTTTTCTATTCCATGTCTGGTTTTCTTTATGCTGGGTTTCCAGATTCATTCCTTTATTCCGTTCCTGGAATTCTCAGTCTCCTGGATTCCTTTATATGTTTGTTTTATGTTGCCACACCCTTTCCTTTTCCATTAATCATTTTGTTTCAGTTGGTTCCTGCAGGCAGTTGCTCCAAGTCCTCTGCCCCTTTCTTACAGGTAAGTGATGTGTGTGTTGTATTATTGTTTATTTAGTCATCCATATCTAGGCAGTCTAGGTCCCACCGTAATTGGAGTACTTTGGCGCAGTGGTGGGCTGCATACATCTTGGCCATTTATGTATGTCTAAATCTCCAATGTTTCACATATATAGTACTTAGTTATGTCTACTCTTGTTTTGCCTTGTATCTCTAGTCTTGTTTTATTTTGTCTTGTATTCCCAGTTCTTGTATAGTCTTGTCCTTTTCTTGTTTTCCCTCATGTCTTGTGTACATGTTCTGGGTTCTGCTTTCTGTCCTGCTCCGGTTCTGGGTTCTCCTAGTTTTGTCTTGTTTTCTTGTTTGGTATCTATTCTAGTCTTACCTTGTTTCTGTAGTGGATACATGTCTGCTGTAGAGCCACCCTATTCAGATCCTGGGAGGTCTGCATATTGTCATTGGCACCTGGGATCCGCAGAAGCTGCATCAGAGTCCTGGTATGTGGCCGCACAAACACTGGTGCTCAACACCAGGGGGCATGTGGTTATCCTGCACCAGGCCCTGATAATCCATTTCCACACAGTGACTCCTACTATCAAGATCAGGCATACTGGGTCGCGGTCACCGGTCCGCCACCCCTGACACTACCACTGCCACCCAGGCCCTAGTCAGACCGCTGGTACCCATTAGTGCACCTATTCCCACCTTAAACCCTAGAGCGATAAGCCCTGCACACACCCATGTTTATTTACGGTTTCTTCAGTGTGATAAGTACTACCCAGATCTTAGGTGTGTTCTTAAGATACTACAATATAAAAATGTGCAGCCTACCTGAATGACACATCATTGTTTTAAAACTCCTGTTATGTTTATGCTTGTAAATGCTGTCGTGGCATATCGAGCTGTTTGTTACCACATGCACATCATAAATAAAGATTATAAAAAAATATATATATGAGGTCTGTCCGGAAAGTATTCAGCCATTGTTAATATATCGAGAATGGTTTGTGCGTCATCGATGTCACCTGGCCAAGGAGAGCGGACTTAAGTGCGCATGCGTGAACAATGACGACTTCACTGTACTAGTCAGTGGGGGCGCTAGATGCTGTTGAGTGAGTGTACTGTGTGGCTGTTGAATTCAAAATGAGTGAGTAGTAGAGCCACGAATCAGCATCAAATGTGGCGTTAAGCTTAAATATACCCCTGCAGAAGCTACTCGGATGATTCAGAAGGCTTTCGGCTAAGATGCAATGAGTGCAGCGCAAATAAATCACCCCAGTGATTCGGCTCCCAACAGCCCAGATTTGGTGCCCTGCAACTTTTGAATTTAACAAAACTAAAATCAACTTTGAAGGGAAAGAGACTTCCGTTTATTATGAGTTCCACCGTCGATGAGTTCTTGGTAAATATGACGAGGCAGCTGATGGCGATTCCCCTTTTTTACCTCCATATATATATTTTTTTTTTTTTAAATAAAAATTTTTTTTCTAAGTTCTTCTTTTTTATTCCTCCCCTAACTCAGATTTTAAAGGAATTTTTGGAAGTGGTTTAAAAATATTTTAGTCTATTCTACAATTGTATATTTATACATCATTTTAGAATTTAACGGAGGGTACAAACGGTTGTATACTGCTCTTCATCTAGAAATGATTATAAACCACACAGTATTTAGATATCTCCAAATTTATATCAGAACCCTAAATATTGAACACAAGAAAGTGACAAGAGAAAGTATTAGGAAATAGGGCTAAAAGAATAGACTATTACATAGCCCCATACACACTAAAGTTATGTTAGATATAGGTCTTGTAAGATATCCCTTAGTAATAAATAATAAAAAAAAATTGTAGAATGGCTTTTAAATGTTCTTAAAGTTATGAGACTCCATAGTAATTATGCACTCTTACCAAAGGTTAACTTTTATAATTCCACTTGGTACCATATATTTGCGGTATAAGCTGTACAGATAATTAGAAATCCGTCTGAAAGTAATTTTTCCTTTAAGAGTACATTGTACACCTTGCATATCAGTTATAAAATGTGAGAAACATCTATGTTATAAGTACTCTTTATGTTAAAAATTCCAGGCTTGTAAAAAAGATAAAGGTTTTTGCTCTTTACATGTGTATGTTAATAGGTCCAATGTTGAGATTCTGGGGAAAGTTTTAAAGTAACAGTTTATTAAATATAGATCTAAGAAACAAATAAGACAATCGATTTGTACTATGACAAAAATTGAGACAAGTAGGTTCAAATAATTTATTGATATAGAATATTAATTTGTATGATACAATTATAAATGAAAAAACGTCAGGTATAATCCTGTCATAATGAAAGAAATTTTCTTATGTCTCATACACAATCACGCCGATCCGGAAATTAAGCGGAAAGGAGAAGATCCCGATTGAACCGCACGCTGGAACGCACATCAGGGAAGTGACGTAACCAGCATGCGAACCCGGAAGTACCTGAGGCTCAGGACGCAGTGCATCACCGTTACTATGGTGATAGCCCACGAAAATTTGAAGCCGAAAATTAGACACCAACCCCTAAGAGGGGTATATAAAGCAGGAACTAACCCAAGGAGGACTTATGAAGAATTTTTTAAATCGAGCTGAGGAAGCCCAATGGCGAAACGCGTTCTGGAGGATTGTGAGACATAGACTGCCATTATAGTGTTGTTTTTACCACATATATAGATATTTTATATATATATATATATATATATATATATATATTTAATTTTTTTAAATTTATATGTCTAATAAAATCTATCTGGTTAATTTTATAATACACTACTGGCATTCCTGTTCCTGCTATTGAAAGAAGGAGTGTGGAACTTATCCACATACGCTACTTTATTTGAGCCTGGTGGGAAGGCTCTGGGTCTGTAAGTATCCTCACTTTGTATATAATATAGATCTACGGTATTGCACCATATGTGCTTTCTATCCATTATATAGGATAAGAAGAAAATAATTTACCATCTAAAGAAGGGAGAGGGTCGCCTTCACGGACCCTAAGAGCGCATTAAATAGATCTTCTAATTTTGAAAACATTATTTTACGGTTTACACTGTGTTTTGGTGTTTGTCTCTTGTGTTTTTAAAGTACACTGTACCCATTGGTAAAATCCCAAAAGGACAAAATTTAAGGTAGATATATTTCCATATCTTTTTAAGCTCTAAGAAATCACTTTAAATTAGCACTTCACCATCACATTGGTTGTCTATCTTGAGTGTATAAGATAAGTTATTTTTGGTGATCTAGCAGCTATTGAGAACAGCTTTTTTACAAATTGGGTATATCATTTATTCTCTGAATATTAGCGCTGGTACCACCCATAGTCATACTTTAATTGTTTTATGTCTATTAAAATGATGACTTGTATGATATTAGGTTATAGTGATGTGGGAATGTAAAATTGCAGAACTGCAGTACTGTACACTGTATGCTTACATAGTTCAATGATAATGTGCAAGATGTTCCTTCCCTTTAGGAAAAATGTCAATAGTTTACCCATGTACCACTGAGAGCTATATTTTTACTATTATTATTATAATTGTGTTGTGTGGGCATGCCCAAAGTGCTCCTATGGACGAGCTAACTAGCTACATGATGTAGTTAGACTACATTACTACTGAAACCCTCTAATGCACCACAGACATATTTCAATACAACTTCCAACATTGTTTTCGATGTCCCATCCTCCTTTATGCCCTTTGAATCTTCAGTCCCATTTTCATTTCCCTTATTACCCTCTGTTTGTCTTTGTCACTACATATGGTCTTTGCTTAGTCTCATCTTAGTTCTGTTAGAACAACTTGGGATCATAGTAAGAAAACCAAATTCCCTACCAACACCACAAAGTTTAAGTTCAAGCCTGACATATTTCGGCATGGAAACAACTTTCCCATTCGGAATATTCTCTGATGTCGAAGATGGAAAACCATGCAAACACATCAAAAAATAACGAATGATCATTTCAACAGCTGCCAAACAGGCATGGTTTTACAATGAGACAAACGTGGTTCTGCAACACTAGACTTTATGAG